CCTGTTCGTAACAAAACTATGTTACGTGATTGCATTATAACATTGGAAAGATATTTAGCCACCAAAACTTAAAAAAAATTTGCTAACGCTGAGTCGTTAAAAAGAGAGGTTATGTTGACAAAATTATTGTATTAACATGAATTGTAGAAATTTTTCATTGGATGCCTTAAAGACGTTTAACCTTATAATGTCATCACGTTACATAGTTTTATTATGAGTAAAGTGTCTATTTCCTTGTTTAAAACAAATTATATCGGTATTCAGTTAACATCAGTTTGAATTAAATCAACCGCCATAGGTGTGGCTTACAGGCTTAAGACTGTAAGACGCCCATGTATGTACAGGCACCCTCAAGCTTGTTTCTCTGATTTATAGACACTCGGCACTGCACGGCTAGTTGTGTATACTTTTATAATGATCCTGTACGTGATATCATTAAGTAGCGTAAAAAAAAACAGTGCTAGCAAATAAATCTTTACCTGATGGAAAAAAGTTATTAAAAAATAAAAACATATTCAAATCCAATTTTTAGATAAGTAGGTATAGAGACCGATCACAGGTCACATACATTAGCAGCTGCAGCTACACTATCTACACAATAAAAAGTATCATCGAGCGCCCAGAGTGCTCTTAAAAATAATTAATACCTAATAAATAAATAAATGTGTAACATATATTATAATTGCAGCGTTATTAGTTGTACATTTCTGGAAAGTAGTATCTTCAGTAGGTAACATAGGGTGACATAGGGTAACAATTACAAACTATCAAAATATGTATATATGTATGTATATCTGTATAAAAGTTGTTTTGTTTTGACACAAGAGAATGTAGGGTTAGAATTCATATGATTCGTACAAACTCTTTAATCTTTTTCAACTGATCAACTATCAACCGTGAAATTTTGTCAATTAAGCTTAACAAGCTTTATTCGGTTGGAATACAAGCACAATCAATTTATTTTCTACCGAAAATTTGTTGGGTGGTTAGTGTAAGTATGTCAAAATTCTACTATCCACACGACATAAATTGATGGGACGCTGGCAATTGACAAAAAAATTTTTTATTTTATACGTACACACATATAGACAAAGAATCTTGTGCTGTTATTAATTATATCGGTTTTTTTCTTTTTTCATTTGGTTTTTTTTTCCAAACCCGTTAGACAGACACACAAGTATTGATAGCATAAATGTGTAAATTTTTTTTCTTACGTAGATCACAAGTGGATTGAAAATACTCAACCATGGCTTTGAGAACTTACGGAGATAAGCCAATTAGTTTCCAAGTTGAGGAAGGTGGAGAATATTATTGCATTGGATCTGAAGTAGGCAATTACCTGCGCCTCTTTAGAGGTTCACTATACAAGAGATATCCTGGCATGTACAGAAGATCAATCACAAATGATGAAAGAAAAAAACTCGTCGAGCTGGGTCTTAGTCAACATGTTCTTGCCTCCAGTGTTTCCCTTCTCCGAGCCAGTGAAGTTGAAGATATAATTGAAGGTAATGATGACAAGTACAAAGCTGTATCGGTACATTCTACAGAACCACCAGCCCCTCGGGAAGGCAAAACCAAGAAATCTATGGCATGGGTTCCAAGTTTACCAAACAGTTCACATTTGGATGCAGTTCCTCAAGCGACCCCAATCAATAGAAATAGGGTGCACAATAAAAAAGTCAGAACTTTTCCATTATGGTAATGGTTATTTTAAAACACAAAAAAAAAATTTATATCTACAAATTTTTATACACAACCAATGCTTGAAAATCAGTTTCAAATTTCTTTAACCTAGTTACGATGACACTGACCCATCATCGAATTTGGAAAACGCTGCGCAACAAGAAGTCTTGGTTCCAATTCGCTTGGACATGGAAATAGAAGGTCAAAAATTACGAGATACGTTTACGTGGAATAAAAATGGTATTACAGGATTTTCCCATTTTTTATTTTTTATTTTTGCCTTTTCCAAAGCAACTATTTAAAATGAATCCATCAAAATAAAATGTATTTATTTCAGAAAGTATTATTTCTCCAGAACAGTTTGCCGAAGTTTTATGCGATGATTTGGATCTGAATCCATTGACTTTTGTGCCTGCCATAGCTCAGGCAATTAAACAACAAATAGAAGCATTTCCTCAAGAAGCAGTTTTGGACGAACAAAGTGATCAAAGAGTGATTATAAAATTAAATATTCATGTGGGCAATACATCATTGGTGGACCAAGTTGAATGGGATATGTCGGAAAAGGAAAATAATCCTGAAAAATTTGCAATGAAGCTGTGTGCTGAACTCGGACTTGGCGGGGAATTTGTCACTGCTATTGCCTACAGGTATATAAAACTTGAGTTTTTCAAGAATTTTGTTTAATAGGTTTGTTTGTAACTGCCAGTGTGAGAGGTCAATTATCATGGCACCAGCGCACATATGCATTCTCAGAAGCACCACTACCAACAGTAGAAGTACCTTTCAGACCACCTTCGGAGGCTGACATATGGGCTCCTTTTCTGGAAACCCTGACAGACGCCGAGATGGAGAAAAAAATACGGGACCAAGATAGAAACACAAGGCAACTATTTATTATTTTATGTTGTTTACTAATGACCCGTCGTAATTATTTCATCAATCATTACAACATTATTAATGTATTACAGACGTATGCGTAGATTAGCAAATACTACACCAGGCTGGTAAAACTTGAATGTGGTCTGAAAAAGCACTCTTACACAGGGATTCAAACACTTGAAAACTTGAATTGGAAAATTTGTATNAAAAATGTTCATGTGCCACTTGGTTGCCATTATTAGCTGTAGCGTTTTTATTTCGAAACTATTTTAAAACTACTGCTTATAATCTGGCCTCTTACATCATGATTCTTAAAAAAGTTTTACAATATATGGCATCCACGAAATTTGGTTAGGAATAATAGTGCAAAAACAACCAAAGTGTTATTATCATCCTCTCAAGTTTTCAAAGTTTACTGCTTCAATATTACTGTATGTTGCATCTTTTAGAATGTTAATATTTATAGATGATGTATAAAATGTTTCATGAGAGCAAAAGTACTAGTTTTTTTATGAGACACTAGTACATTATTTACAATACGTGGTGATTAAAAGAGTTTTCGCATGCATACAGCGATATTATACCATGTTACATTTGTTTTAAATATTAATGTTTAACACAAGTCACAAGCATTCCAACAATAATGTTACAAATCGATTTTTATTGTAGTTATTTTATACAATAATATTGTATTCTGTCAGAATAAAATATATTTATTTATATTTTGATGAAAGATATTGACATTTTTTTCACATTCCGCGTCTGATGGTACGATTTCGTAAGTTATATATACGTATCGTTTTCAACGTGCATCGGTGTTCGACCACCTCACGCGATCCCCTCTCCCCTCTGATCTGATAGTCTGATTTGATTCCGGCTGGCAAGTTTTCCTTCAATTTCTCCATGCTGTCAGCTTCAACGCTGTTGTCTACTGCGGCTAGAGTATTCAAGTGATACATAGTTTAAATAAGAAGTGTGTACGGCCTGCAGCATTTCTAAAAGGATATCATTATCATCGAACCAGGCAATTGTATCAACACACGTACCAAGTACAACATAGTGAATACTAATCGTAAGGTCGGGTCAAAGCCCCCCCCCCCCAGCCTACAATTTGACTTAGCCTCCAGCCAGAGGAGTCCAACAAACTCCAATTATGGATATAGCGAGTCTACTTGAGCAGGCCACGGTGGCAACGAAGGAGGGTAGCTTAAAGCCGAGGAACGCATTTCCAGAACGACCCTGGATGAGGAACAGTGGAGCCGCGGCAGCCGCGCCCTCCGGCAACATTGGCCTCAAGGGCATCATTGCTGGTAAGAGTTGCTAAAGTTTGCTGTTACTGCATACTTTTTGTGACGAAAATTTCTTTGTCCAAGTTTACTTGTAAGTAGGTATACGCCCCACGTGAGCCTCTGCTTAGTTGACGAAGACGCGCAATGTATTTTTCCGATAGTAACACACGTCGATTTACCGATTTCGAGTTGTGCCGAGTCGAGATATGTTAAATGTATATTTTTTACACAAATCAATTTACAAACACTCAATTTACTTGCTTGGTTTTATATACATATACATATATGAGTATTTGCACGCATACTTGAGCGTGCACGAAATTTTTCAAAGCGATTAAAAATAAAAATAAAAATAGCAAACTTGGTTCATATTTTAAATTAATGACAAACCATGACACGAATCGAAAAGTGCTGTTAAGTAAATTTGGTTTGAAACAATAAAGGTTAAAAGATGAAAAGCCAAGTATATGTATTATGACAGAGTTTGACAAGTTACAACTATTTCTCCTAGAGTAAAAATATTTTAATGGCAAATTATTTGCAAATAAACATAAAAAAGAATGCCATTCTCTCTCACTCTCGTTTCTTCCAAATGTTTTTTTTTTTTTTTTTTAGCCATTACTAATAATAAAAAAAATTCACCACAATCAAACGTGAGATTAGAAACGAGGCCGTTTGTCGCTGTGCAAGTGCCTTACTTATCATTAATGTCGTAGTGATTTCACAATGATGATTAAACAATCAAATTGAATGAAATCCATCAGACACGAACTCGCTTATTTATACATTAAAGATAACAAGTTTTGTCAAAAATTTCAAAAGCTCTTCTTATATAATAATAAAAAACCAAGAAATCTATGGCATGGGTTCCAAGTTTACCAAACAGTTCACATTTGGATGCAGTTCCTCAAGCGACCCCAATCAATAGAAATAGGGTGCACAATAAAAAAGTCAGAACTTTTCCATTATGGTAATGGTTATTTTAAAACACAAAAAAAAAATTTATATCTACAAATTTTTATACACAACCAATGCTTGAAAATCAGTTTCAAATTTCTTTAACCTAGTTACGATGACACTGACCCATCATCGAATTTGGAAAACGCTGCGCAACAAGAAGTCTTGGTTCCAATTCGCTTGGACATGGAAATAGAAGGTCAAAAATTACGAGATACGTTTACGTGGAATAAAAATGGTATTACAGGATTTTCCCATTTTTTATTTTTTATTTTTGCCTTTTCCAAAGCAACTATTTAAAATGAATCCATCAAAATAAAATGTATTTATTTCAGAAAGTATTATTTCTCCAGAACAGTTTGCCGAAGTTTTATGCGATGATTTGGATCTGAATCCATTGACTTTTGTGCCTGCCATAGCTCAGGCAATTAAACAACAAATAGAAGCATTTCCTCAAGAAGCAGTTTTGGACGAACAAAGTGATCAAAGAGTGATTATAAAATTAAATATTCATGTGGGCAATACATCATTGGTGGACCAAGTTGAATGGGATATGTCGGAAAAGGAAAATAATCCTGAAAAATTTGCAATGAAGCTGTGTGCTGAACTCGGACTTGGCGGGGAATTTGTCACTGCTATTGCCTACAGGTATATAAAACTTGAGTTTTTCAAGAATTTTGTTTAATAGGTTTGTTTGTAACTGCCAGTGTGAGAGGTCAATTATCATGGCACCAGCGCACATATGCATTCTCAGAAGCACCACTACCAACAGTAGAAGTACCTTTCAGACCACCTTCGGAGGCTGACATATGGGCTCCTTTTCTGGAAACCCTGACAGACGCCGAGATGGAGAAAAAAATACGGGACCAAGATAGAAACACAAGGCAACTATTTATTATTTTATGTTGTTTACTAATGACCCGTCGTAATTATTTCATCAATCATTACAACATTATTAATGTATTACAGACGTATGCGTAGATTAGCAAATACTACACCAGGCTGGTAAAACTTGAATGTGGTCTGAAAAAGCACTCTTACACAGGGATTCAAACACTTGAAAACTTGAATTGGAAAATTTGTATACCTAGTATTAATTATTTACAAGTAAAATATTATAATTTCTCTAAAAAAAATACCTCAAGTTCATTATTTACAACAAATCCTAGGCAAGCAAGTTTGCTTACAAGTGTTTTTGCAAACAATCGGACCTTGACCATTGACCGCAACGATTTTTCATTATTCAAATGGACTGATCAATTCACAAGAATACTTTTATAAACGTCCATGCCTCTCATACCTACTTAGTTGGCTGTTGTTTCCTAAAAGCACTCGAGTTCCGATCTTTGGCGCTTTAAGACTGATATTAACTTATTATTAATCATATTTAATTTTTGAAAAATTGAGGTAAAACGGTGGGTAAATTACTGATTAAATCAAGAAAATCCTTAAAATATGATAAAAAATTTAACTGTCAACTACGCGTGAACAAACAGTTTTCTACAAATAATAAGGGATTATTAACGAAAATGAGAAAACAACTACTTTGTTATCCCATAGCCCTGGAGGATGGTAATCGTGACCGTATATTTTATGTACTTATACCGATACACAAAATTCTAGAGTGCATGTACTCAATGTACTCATGCATGCACGGTACCTAGATACAACAGCAACATTCATCCAGTACACAAAGTACACACTGAGTACACACCCAGATAATACCAGTACAATGTATATAATTGTATACAAAATATTAGAGGTAAATGTTAGCGGTGACGACAGCTACTTATACTCTTTTTTGAGCGAGTTCATATAGGTTGCTGTGTGAGAAAGAGCGAGGGAGGTAGTGGAGGGGGGGAGGCAAAGAAACAACAAAAATGTGTATATAT